ATATGTAGTTTTCTATTTGAGTGTTATGAAATTTATACTATTGTTTTACTATACACAGTCCTTTGCTTTGCCTCACCCCGCCTATCCTCTTCTTCGCGCTTTGAATTACTACTATGTCTACCTCGTCCTGGATACATCCACTTCTAACTGAACTTGAAATTAATATAAAAAATATAGCCCAAGTTTGGGATGACATGGGTGTCGTTGGAGAAAATTATACGGTCAGACAAAGGACTTTGTCGCACCATCTCCACCGTCTACTCGAAGATATGCTTGATGAGGAAACGAGGGCCAAGCAAACCCTCTTAGATTCAATAAATGATCTGAGAACAAAAATTGTTGAGTTTGAAGCCGAAATGGGCGTACCAAGTTTTAACTTTCCCTCTGATAACTCCTTGGTTGCAACCGAAAAGGAGCTTTTTGATTATCACAAGTCTCTGACCAAAAAGGCCGAAAATTCCATCCGAGAGATCACCTTATTGCTGGAACAGGAATCCATCTTGTGCTCCCTTTTAGGAGAAAAACCTATCTCGGTCAGCTTCAAGCATGTTCCTAGTTTTGATCAAGTTAATTGTGTGAAGCATCACGTTGACTATCTCTCCCAAACTAAAGTAAGCATTTATCTTTAGTTATATGAATAGAGCGAAAGACTAGCTCATCTCATGGAGCTAAAAGAGGATGTCCTCGCGCTTTGCTCTTATTTGAACATGACGCTCGAGGAAGCCTCTAGTAATTGTGAAATGTCCTTAATGCTAAAGAGCGATTTCTCTATTGAGCCAGCGTCGCTGACGTGCGCGTTCATTGCAAGTCTGGAAGAACTAAGGGATAATCTGGACTCTAAGCTGATTCTAATTGGGACTAAATGTCGCCAGCTAAAGGACGAGTGGTTGTCACTTCGGTCCCGTCTCAAGCTCGAAGATAGCTCTGAATTCAATGAGATAAAACCGTCCGTTGAACTTTTCAAACAGGTATCTTTTCCTTATACACTTTCTCATTAAGTTGGCCTGTGTCTTGTGACATTTATTTTACTCTATTTT